TATAAATTGGTAAAAACATAAAATATACTTTTGAAAACAAAATCTGTTATTGATGGATCTTTGAATTGTATAGGCAAACACCACCTTTATCTTACTGTTAAAGCGCATATCTCCAATCTTTTAGAATACTTTAACTTTGGAATATTTTGTAGTCTGTTGAGATAATTAATTTCTTCTATTTCTGCATATCAAATATTGCTTTAAAGTTTGCCTTCAACTGTGTTTCTTAGAGATTAAAGTGGGAAATATTTTATTTCTCTTGTGATTAACACTTTAAGTCTGAAAAAGTATTGGATAAATATGCTTTGGTCTGTGTAGCAAAGAAACTTCATAGCAGACTCTATTTTGCTGTGTATAATTCACAAGTTTTTGAGGGAAAAATAAGGACACACATTACACATGGGTAGTACCTGAAATACCTTGTATGTTCTTGTGTTTTGTAATTATTTGTTACATAAAATTTCCTATAGTATATTAAAAAATAAATGCTCAAATTCCTTTATAATACAAAAACAAGTATCTAAATATAAATAAGTAAAAAATTGAATTAAAAAATTAAAATGAAGGAGTTTTTTCCTGAAAGTTTGGGCCAAAAATGTCGGTGTGCATTATACGTAAGAGTGCATTATACGTGGCAAAATACGGTAATTCCATTTCTATTGAAATGTTTATTTTCCAGTTTTCAGAATTGTTTTAATTGCTAGTTGGTAGCTTATGATTTCAGTTAAAGTGCAACTTATTTTATATTTAATCAATTATCTTAGAAGAATATCTTGATTGTTTGTCTCAGTTCATATATAAATAGAATCTGGCACAAATAACACCCCTTTTTATTACAAAATCATAAGCATGTAATTCTGTAACATAACAATATCACTCTCAAGCATACCATGTGGCATTTTAGGTAAAATGTTCAAATTGCTGTACATCTCGTGTGAGACATTCACGTACCCTATCAACCACACTCAAGCAAGTCTTTCTTCTGCCAGATGCTGTATTATGAATGTGTTGACTTGCTGTCTAAGGACATATTTATAGAATTCAGCATTCAGTAATATGTAACATCTTATGCGTAAGCATACATATACACAGATCATGCACATATATAAATATATGTTTATATATAAACATGAGTCATATTTTTATGTTAGTTATAAACTTTTGTATATTTCTATTTATTCACGTATATACATGTAAATCCTTACATAAGGGGGGCCCAAAAAAACCAGACTTTAATTATTATTTAAAGAAATTAAAAAGATTTTATTTAATTTTAGTTTTTAGGGCGAGGGGAAGGGAGAGAGAAAGAGAGGGAGAGAAACATCAATGTGTGCTTGCCTCTCACATGCCCCCTACTGGTGACCTGGCCCACAACCCAGGCATGTGCCTTGACTGGGAATCAAACCAGCCATCTTTGGTTCATAGGCCGGCACTCAATCCACTGAGCCACACTAGCCAGGACAGAATTTAATTATTTAAAAAACTGTGTGTTTATTCTTATATGTTTAAATTTCAGTCACCTTCAAAGTATTCTCTAGTTGGTGCAATACACCAATTGAGATTTTTTTTCCCATTGCTCAAAACAGTTTTTGAACTTGTTGATTTTGATGTCTTTTGGTGCTTCTGCTATTTTTTTGTTACACCTCTTCCGCATTAACAAAATGTTTCCCTTTGAGAACTTTTTCATCTGGGGAAACAAAAAAAGTCACAGGGGTGAGATAGAGTGAGTAGGGAGGGCAGCATGGGGTTCATGCTGGTTTTGGTCAGCAGCTGCTGTGAACACTCAGCGTGGTTTGGGCAGGTACCGTCGTAAATCACCCATTGGGCAAAAGTATTGAAAGAGTCTTCAAAAAAATCCACTGAAGCCAAACGCAGCCTCTCACAGCAATGCCAGCTGCTACAGTGATACAGATGAGTTCCTAGAATACTTACCTGGTGGGGAAAACCTGTGCTACAAGGGGCTCACCCTCCACAAGATAATTTTGGTTTCTTTGGGGTTCCCCCTCATATGAGCAATAGGGCAAAGTAACTTGGATTCTTTTTAACTTAGGGTACTCAAAGGTGTTAAAGAATTATACTGTGATTCTGAATAGATGGTGGAGTAGGAAGCACCAGAAGTTGGCCTTCCCACCTAGACCGTACTCACACCGGCAGCATCTGTCTGATGCAGCCATTTTGGAACTCTGGAGTCTGTTGAAGGCTTGGAACTTCCAGGGGAAGCCTTGGACTGCAAAGTTTGCTTAATTTCAGTCAGTATCAGCCCTCAGCACAGTAGTAGCTCCCTGTTCACCACCCCTAGTCACATAGCTGACAGCTGTGTATGTGTTCCTGGAGCAGCTTACACACATCCTTGGTAGCCAGGGTGAGCAAAAAGAGGACAGTCCTCCAAATATCAGGGATCTGTGTTCTGGTCACTGCATGTTATTTTTGATCATAGAGGTGCAGGCAAAGCAGTGCGGAGCCACTGTTGTTGCACCCTTCCCCATTATTTCAAGTCTTTCCCTCTGGCTGAAGTGACTTCTAGGGGGCTGATAGGTCTGATGCCCTCCATTTGTTTTTTCACTTTTCATTTTTCCTTTTGAGACAGACATTAAAGAGTATGACATTCAAGAACTGCAAGTATGGGAAAATTAGAAAGTGACAGCATATGCCCAGGGAAAATCTCCTGAGAAAACATTAAGTTTACATCTCAGGCTGATCCTCAGCACAGACACAGCCTACTCTAATCAAATACATACATACATACATACATACATACATACATACATAAAACAGCCAACCTTGGGGAGGGGGTAGAATCTGATTTCCAGAAATACATCCTTACTAGTTCAGATGTCCAGTGTTCTACAAAAATTCACAAGTCATACAAAGAATCAGGAAAAAATGACCTCTTAAAGGAAAAAATTAAATCAACTGTGTCTGCCTCTGAAAAAGACCTAATGGCAGACACACTAGACAAGACTTTAGAACAACTGTTCTAAAGATGCTCAGAGAACTAAAGGAAGTTGTGGAGAAAGTCCAGAGTGATTATGAATAAAATAGGGATTTCAATGTGGAGATAGTAAACTTAAAAAGAAACCAACAAGAAATTCTGAAGCTGAAAAGTACAATAATACAAATGTAAGATTCACTAGACAGATTCAGAGGTTGGTTTGGACAAACAGAAGAAACAATTGGTGAACTTTAAACTAGTACAGTAGAACCCTGGCTGGTATGTTTCATGGATTGAGTGCCAGCCTATGAACTGAAGGGTCACCAGTTCGACTCCCAGTCAGGGCACATGCCTGGGTAGCAGGCCAGGTCCCCAGTTGGGGGCACGTCAGAGGCAACCACACATTGATGTTTATCCCCCTTTCTTTCTCCCTTCTCCTCTCTAAAAATAAAATCTTTTACAAAAATAAAATATAAACTAGGACAGTAGAAATTGTTGTTGCTGAGGAACAGCAAAAAAAAAAAAGATGAAAGAAAGCTGAACACATTTTAAGGGACCTGGGGGACACCATCAAGTGGACCAACATATACATTGTATGGGTCCCAGGAGAAGAGAAAGATAAAGGGGCAGAGATATCTGAAGGAATAATAGCTGAAAACTTCCCAGACTTGATGCAATACATGAATATGAACATCCAAGAAGCTCGATGAACTTGAGGTAAGATCAACCAGTCAGACCCACGTCAAAATACTTTATAATCAAACTTAATAAAAAACAAAACAAATATAAAGAATGAATTTTGAAAGAACCAAGAGAGAAGTAAATCATCTCATTCAAGAGATCTCAATAAGATTTTCAGCAAATGTTTTATCAGAAACTTTGGGGACCATAAGACAATGACTGATATATTCAAAGTGCTAAAAGAAAAAAAAAACACCTGTCACTCAAGAATCCTATATCCATCAAAACTGTCTTTTAAAGATGACATTCCTGGTTAAAAGCTTAAGGAGTTTGTGACCACTACACCTGCCCTGTTAAGAACTGCTCAAGGCAGTCCTGCAGAGTTAATGGAAGGAAACTAGATAGTAACTCACAGCCCTTTGGAGATATAAAGAATTTTTTAAAAGATTTTATTTATTTATTTTTAGAGAGGGGAAGGAAGGGAGAAAGAGAGGGAGAGAAATATTAATGTGTGGTTGCCTCTGCGTCCCACACTGGGGACCTGGCCTGCAACCCAGGCATGTGTCCATGCCAGGAATTGAACCAGCAATCCTTTGCTTTGCAGGCCTGCGCTCAATCTACTGAGCCACACCAGCAAGGGCTACCATTTAGTCCTCTTACACTCCCTTTCCCCCAGCAATCACCACACTGTTGTCTAGGTCCATGAGTCTTTTTACCTCTTTACTCAATCCCTCCCTCCCACTTTCCTCCCACTAGCTGTCATCCTGCTCTCCATCTATGAGTCTGTCCCCATTTTCCTTGTTAGTCCAGTTAGTTCAATAGATTCCACATGTGAGTGAAATCATATGGTATTTGTCTTTCTCTGACTGGTGTATTTCACTGATAATGTTTTCCAGGGAGAGGCTACTTTCTAACTCATTCTTTGAGGCCAGCATAACCCTGGTACTAATGCTAGACAAAGTCACTACAAGACAAGAAAACTACAGATCAATATCTAATTATTCTAGTAGTATAGAATAAGAATAATTTTTAGTACAGTTTATTAACAGATTAAATGTTAAACCTTATTTTTATGAAAACTTAATTTGGGAGGTTTTACCCTAAATACATGTTCTTAGTATCTGTCAGTGAAAAGAGTGGGTTATTTTTGGGAGTGGTATTATTGTAAACACTGTGTAGGGGGAGGAGCAAATGAGGAGGGTGGGCACTCCTTTTTTGAATTCTATAGTACTATATTGTTTGAGTTTTCTTTAAAGCAATGAGTGTATGCTTCTTTTATTAAAATGATAGGAAATATTTTTAAAAACATGTAATGACATGAAGGCAAGCTTTTAAAAATATCCTCATAACTAAGCTCATTTTGTGCTTTTATTAATTTTGGTTTCAGGCTTGTGTGGACGTCAGAGCCAGTATGGTGTTTTGGCAGCAGATGGAACTTGCAGATAGCCTCTCTGGTCATCCCAAGTTGCCAGAATGGTTGTCCACACACCCTTCTCATGGAAACCGAGTGGAGAACCTAAATAGACTCATACCTGAGGTAAGCTGTCACTATAGAAGGCAAGACATTATCTTTGCTGTATCATTTATTTTTAATGCTGTTACTTGTGCTTAGAGAAAGAGTTCTAGTTTGTTAACTATTTTGATCATTATAATTATGGATTATCAGTTTTCAAAGGATTTGACTGGGAAGTAAAATCCTGTTTGACTGCAAGTCTTGGGGAATAAATTGCTGTATAGAGTTGACTTTTCTTGGTGGTGAAGGTTTAAACTTTTTAGCACCATACCTTTTAATTTTATCTGACTTGGTGAAAGTCTAAAACTCAAGGCATATCTTTTCAACATATTTTCATAATTTAATCTATTTTTGGTGATTTTAGCTTTTTGTTAAAAAAAGCTTCAGTTAATGACTTGTGCAAAACTTTTTGATCAAATGGGTATTAATTCCAATAATGACGTTGGAATTTTTCTTAGAAAAAAAATTCCTTGTTATCAGTTTACTTTCTGTGTATTTATAGAGTAAAGTGTATGTGTTTCTTTTTTGTAGAGTCCATTCGTAAATAAAGCTAAAGCAGCTTTTTCCCATGTAGTTTTCACTACCTTCTAAAAATCATTTGATCACATCATTTAAAATGCTTGTTGTGGTATCCACATCAGTAACAAGGTGGATGTCAGATATCTCCAAACCAGGGTGCACATTTTTCTGTCTTACTTCTGTTGTCAGTATGACTTCAAATTTAACGTAACAAATAATGAGAACTTGTTATAAGAAATACTGGTGGTTAAAGGGGATACAAAGAGAATTAAGACATGGTTTTTGATATTTTCAGGATGCTAACATATATACAGAGTGGTTCTTAATACAACAAGGAACATGATTTATTATAAGAAAAGTAGAAATAAAATGATATGCAATTTGAAGGAACAGCTTGCATCGAGTTTGGGATAAGAAAGTACCACAAGATTCATTCACTCACTCATTCATTCATTCATTCATTCATGTGATTGATATTGAAATCTACCCTTCTGTATTCTGTTGCTAGGAACAAAACAGTCTCTGCAGTTTTGGAGCTAACATTTGTCTTAATGCAAGTAATGAACAGACATACTTACAGCATATCAAGCAGTAATAAACACATTGTGGGAAAATAAAGCAGGTTAAAGGTAGTAGAGAGAGCTGGGCAGCATAGAAGGCATACTGGTCTGTGTTCCTTAGTCAAAGAAGGCCTTACTTAACAGAATCTGGAAAGAAGCAGGGGTCCAAGTCCTGTGGTTATAGAGAAAGAGAGTCTTCCAGGCTGAGCACTGTAGCAAGTGCATAGGACTTGAAGGGAGAGTGTGTTTGGCATGTTCCTGGAATAGCAAGGAAGATGTTGGGGCTGAGTAAGTAAAGGGGGGTGAGAATGGTTGAAGTATAGGGGGACCGGACCATGAAAAGTCTTCTGAACCATTGTAAGGACTTGACATTTATTCCAAGTGATATGAGAAGGTAGTAGAGGATTTTGAGCAGAGGAGGGACTTGATCACTTCATGTAACTCATGTGATGACTCATGTGTTTTATAGTGGTCATGGGGGGCGGGTCTCCTGTGTAAAGAGCTGCAGTAGTGAGGCAAGGGTGAAATCAGGGAGACTGTTTAGGAGGCTCTTGCAATAATCCTGTTAACAGATTATAGAGGCAAAGAGGGAAAGAAGTGGTCGGATTTGGGATTATTTTTAAAGGAATGATAATAGGATTTGATAGTTTGAGCATACTTTGTGCCTTTCATGAGCACTGGGACCAGACAGACATGGATTCCTAAGAAATGCCCTAAATATCTTTCACTTTCCTTTTTAAAAAAAACACATATGACATTTTATTTTTTAAATTTTGAAAAAGATTTTATTTATTTATTTCTAGAGAGAGGGGAAGAGAGGGAGAGAAACATAATTGTGTGGTTGCCTCTCATGTGGCCTCCACTGGGGACCTGGCTTGTAACCCAGGCATGTGCCCTAACTGGGAATTGAACTGGCAAGCCTTTGGTTTGCAGCCTGTGCTCAATCCACTGAGCTATACTAGCCAGGGTTATACTCTTAATTTAAAGAAAAAATGTTGAGGGAAAAAAAGCGGTGACATTTACTTGACATAGCGTGTAGTCATTCATCTTAAAAGTGCAATGTAGGACTGGGACAGTATGTGTTTCATCAGCAAGTGATTTGTACTGAAGATCACTGACTTGAAGAGCCTTCTCAAGTACTACCCAAGACCCAGGGAACTGATATCACCCTACGAGATTTAGCCCATCCCTAAAGGCATAATAACTACATGGTTTTTTCTTGGAATTCCTTTTTTATTTTTGTTCATGAAATTCTAAAAATGTTTGCTTAAATTGGATAATGAGTTTTAGCCAGCTTTCATCTAAATTCCGAATTGTCATTTCATCATCGAAGATAACTAAATCTTTAGAGAAGTAAAAATGTGCTATAGAGAAGTCTTTAAAATAATAATGAATTGACTAGTGAGCATGAAGAAAAAAATGATTGGAGAAATAAATATGTTATTTGGGCAACAAGATGAAGAAAAACATTGGGAGACATTTTTTTCAAAAAATAAACTACCCTAGTTCGGATACTTAAATTGAAAACCTTATAAAATTTTTTATATTTGTCCCCCAAGTGATTAAATTTTATTTGAAAGTAATAAAACTCTACTACAATATTGGGGATAATCCAGTGGTTGAAGTGAAAGTTATAGTTAGTATAAGAGTATATTGTTAATTAGGATACATAGTCATAATTCAGAGATTGGAATTCCCTACTGTCATTTCTAATTTCTGTAAGAAAAGAAAGCAAATCCTCAGGCAGCATGTAGAGTTTTGTGAGCCTGTTTAGTACTGAAGAGTACACTTTTTGTTTGCTTTATTTAATATTTTTTTCTACTTAAGTTAGTACAATATATTCTACCTAATATCCTGATTCTTTGAGATTTCTGACAATATGCCTGAAATGGTGCACATCTTAAAGGTAGTTGGCAATACAGCACCAGAGCATAGAAATCTAGGCCCGGGATGAGGACTGTAGAGTCATCCCTGAAAAGGTGATGGTTGAAAAAGTGGGAGTGGATCAGTCCATTTAGGAAGGAAGCAGGTAAAAAGATCCGGATAGTCAGCAGTATTAGGTGGTTTTCACATTTGACTGGTGGAAGGAAGACAGAGCCTGTAGGAGATCAGGTTTCCTAGAGGAGAAAAGATCAAGATCGGGGAAGTAAAATTAGGTTTCATGAGAACAAAAATGTTGGTTATTTTTATTTTTTAGTAAAATGTAGCTTACTGGTAGTTATATGTTTTTATTTCTTATTTATATCTTATCACAGAAATATATTATTTTTACTATAGCATATCAACATTTAAACCATCATATATTTTAAAACTATACTTTATGCATTTAACAAATATTTAGTAGTCAGCAATTATGTGCCAGATTGTAGGTATTGGAGGTACCGTGAACAACATATATACAAAAAACCCTGCCCTTATGAAGCTTATTTTGCAATAAAGAAAGATAGACAATAAATAGAATAAATTAGTGTCCTGGCTACATGGCTCAGTTGGTTGGAGCATCCTTCTGTGCACTGAAAGGTTGCCAGTCCAATTCCTGGTCTGGGCACATGCCTGGGTTGTGAGTTCCATCCCTGGTTGGGGTGTATGGGAGGCAACCAATCGATATTTCTCTCTCTCTCTCTCTCTCTCTCTCTCTCTCTCTCTCTCTCTTTCCCCCCTTCTCTCCCTCCCTCTCTTTCTCCCTCCCTTTCTCCCTCTCTCCCTCTTGACCCCCTCCCTCCCCTCTCTCTAAAATCAATGGAAACATATCTTTAGGTGAGGATAAAAAATAGAATAAATTAGTAATATATAGAGTAAATTACCAATATATTATTATATATTAGTTAGTAATAGCATTAGGGAGGGAAACAAAGGAGGAAGAACAGTATATTAGCTTGGACTGCCATAACAAAATAACCGTTGTCTGGGTGGGTTAGCAACAGGAATTCATTTCTTCAGAGTTTGGAAGGCTGGAAATCCTATAATGAGGTTCTGGCTCATTTAATTTCTGGTGAGGTCTCTCTGGTTTGCAGATGGCTGGCTTCTGGCTGTGTCCTCACATAGTAGACAGAGTGAGTACCCTGGTGTCTCTTCCTCTTCTTCTGAGGGCAGCAATCCCATTATGAGGGCCCCACCCTCATCACCTCATTTAAATCTAATCATCCCCAAAGGCTACCTCTCCAAATACGTGGGGGTTAGGGTTTTAACATACGAATCTGTGGGGGAAACAATTCAGTCCATAGCAAATATGTAATGTGTGAGCAGAGATGGTAGAAGTGCTAGAATAGCTGTTTTAAAAGGGTCGTGATCAGAAAAACTTTCACTGAGAAGATGGTATTTGAACAAAGACGTGAAATTAGTGAAAGAGTTTCCCTGGGGGTTGTGGGAAGGGTGGGGGATGGATGGGATGGGGAGTGGGGTGGGAGGTAGAGCCTTCCAGGCCCAGGAAATAGTAAGTACAAGGCTCTGAGGCAGGAGTGAGCCTGGCGCAGTTGAGGAACAGCAAGGAAGCCAATACGGCCGGAATGGAGTGAGCAAGGGAAAGTGGAGGGTGTGGGCCTTTGGCCCCTCTGTGAAGATTTTGGCTTTTGCTCAGAGATAGGACACCAGTGGAGGGCTGTCAGCAGAGGACTAGGGGAGTAACAGGATCTGACTTACAAAGGGTGTGATTGACAACTCCTACAAAGGATTAATAGCACAATCATGTAATTTTGGAGTGCCGGTATTTTAGTACAGTATATTGTTTAGAAAATAGACTAATTCCTTATTTTGTTTTGTTTTTAAATCAAGGAAATGCCCCAAAGTAGAAAACTATATATTCTTGCTATTTTTCAATGTGAATTCTGAGATTAAACCATGTGTAAATGCCTAGTTAAATATAATCCTGTGATCTCTTCGTATTTAAAAAGGATAACTATAGGGTTGTAGTAATGATATTATTTGTAGTTCATAAGATGATATCTT